CTACAGGCTTGAATTGACGAGGGGTTGCGGTAGAGATTCTGGAGAAAATAGTTACGGGAGTGCCATCTCACTGGGTATGACAGTGCCATTCCATCGTCGCACTGACATGCTTGGGTTTATGGACAGCCCCGTAACGGTCGTCAATGGTGCCGCGATCGGAGAAGGGATACGCAGTTCCGTGGCAGCTGGTTCTGGGTTAGACAGAGATTGACACAGAGTCATACAGGCTCACGGATGATTTCCGTTTCGTTGGAAGAACGTGTGAATGTAGACCGGACACCAGCCAGTTTGAATAGATGCCAATTCTACGGGGAGTTTGGGCAACTGCAGTCGAGGCTTGAATCTTGGGAAGAGGGGCAACGGGAAAGAAATAGAATGAAAGCACTGGCGAGTGGCGAGTGTCAGGAGGCATAAGATACAACGGTGTCAACGGAAGAAAATCTAAAAGGGATGACAGCAAGCTAAATGGGCTTAAGAAAGGTGATCTAGAAATCAAGTACTAGTTGGGCCAGAGTAGGTGCCTATGTTTAGGAAGCTGAGAACTTTGTCATCCAAGTAGCTAGCAGGGAGGCTAGCTGTTTGACTAGTTGAAAACGGGCGGTATTTTTGGCTCGCCAAAGTATCATGACATAAAGTCCTTGTTGTACAGAAGGGGGGATAATGTGAACAGTGACAGTAGACAAGTAAAAAGCGGACAAGCAACAGCTTCCCAGTTAACTGATAAGACCAGTTGCTTGACTGAGGTCTACTACGTCAACCTAAGAGAAATGTAAGATTAGGGATCACCAGTCACCGTGCCACTGCTGTCAACCCCAGAAAACGAATGATGCATGACAAAAAACAGCGATTAAGTGCTAGCTGGGACTGATCGTAATCAGTAAATGATAGGTTGTTAGGATTTTTTGCATATGATTGCTCCAGATGACAGGAGGGAAGAATATGTGCGCTATGTTTGGATGATGGATTGGACTTGGGCAGATGACAGGAAGAATATGTGCGCTATGTTTGGATGATGGATTGGACTTGGGGTGGTGTGACCCAACTAAGACGAAAGTTGCAACACCTACCTTGTCGACGTTAGCCGTGAGCTTCACACAGTAAGCCCAGGCTACCCCATGCATTAATGCTTTTTATTTATCATTATTTTTTATAGAACAAACGGAAATACGGCAGCTGGTATTTGCTTGTATTGCTTGGTGTTGTGAGACAAGTGACAACCGGAACAAGGCCAATCCAGTTACAGACAAACAACAGGGCTGCTCTTTTCTGGTTTTCCTGAATTAAAGGCAAGGCTCAGAACCACCGGCGATGGGCGATACACTCGTGCCACTGGATGGGTGGCGATTATACGAACGCACCATGGTGCAACGTAACAGGGCGACCCTCCCCGCAGGGCGTACCCGTCCACCACACGAGGTTTTTATCCCTCGTACATGCTACCAGAACTGCAAGGTGTAAAACCATCTAAGCAGTCATAAGTGCGGTTTGGGCATTGTTAAATAACTCCAGCTACCAGCTGTTTTATCCGGTCGGGGGGAAGCCAGGCCGGTAAAACAGCTCAGTTATTTCGAACAAGCAAACAGCAATCAGCCACTGGAAGAGGCAAGTCGCGGAAGCAAATGAAACATCGACTACCTTTTGGGGAAGGGAAGTAGAATGGAGATGTTCGCAGCCTGCGTACTATGGCTAAACGAAGGCGAAGCATTGGCGTGAACCGCCTTATCAAGTACAGTCGCACCAGTG